TTAAAGTATACTATATAACCGATTCTGTGCGTCGTATAAACGATATATTTTTACATTAAAATGAATAGGAATGATTTGGGACCACACTAAAACGTCGTATAAATGTAAACGTCGTATAAGTGATCGTCGTATAAAAGATGCTCCACTGTATTTGAAATTTTACCGACAGGTGTCTTAGTGAAAAATTAAAAAATGATAAGAATAGACGAAAAACAAAATGTCAGTCAACGTTTTGTTGAATGTGCTTTACCGCATTATTTACGGCCACATGAAGCCAATCTTGAGAAATGGCGGACAATGCTATCTGCTTTCAAGTTGTTATCATTAGTTGCATATCCTTGATAAACCGCATGAAGAGAAAAACCTACACCTAGAAATCATAAAGATTTAGAGCTGGAAAGCATGCTAGCCACCTCATTGTTTTTGATAAGGCAAAATTACATCAGCTCAAATTGCCTTACTGCGGGATTCATTCATATTCGGTATGTAGAACTGGAGCTACAAGCCTTTGCAGTCAGTTTAATTTTCACAAACGTGTATCGAAATTCAGATTTTAATTTGTTGAAATTGAATGTTATTTTATTTATGTTGCTTATTTTTAAGTAAAAAACCATTTAATATAATTATTTCCATTTTTCAGCAAAGAAGTTTGGAACACTCTATAAGTGATTGCTCAGACCCTGATGGATTAAGCAGAATATCAGAATTGGAAAAGCAACTCCAAATCGCTCGATGTGATTTAAGGGAAGCTGAAAAAAAACTTGAGGCACGCCACTGGGTTGCGCCTGTCACTTTACAACACTGGTTACAACTGACCCATGAGATTGAACAGCGTAACTACAATGCCAAAAAATCAGTGGCCGAACAACAGTTATTAGCTGCCAAGGAAGGTGTATGTATCTCGTTTAATTGCCTCTATCCTGATACTTTTTATTTGTCTATCCTGGATTAATTAGTAAAATTTAATTTAAAAAAATTTTTAACCCGGAAACTTTTTCTTAAATATTAATAATATTTATTAATTTGCTAACGATTTTGTTATTATTTATTGTAATTGTAAGTATGGGAAAATGCAGAATGAGTTCTACCAATCAATATAATTGGAAATTGTTTTGACTATTTTCGTTAAGCTCAGTTCGAGTTAAGATCTATGACTGTTAAGTAAAGCAAATCAACATACTATAGTTTCGGTTGCATAAACGAGAACCTTCCTCAGTGTCTAACACAAAATTAATCATTTTGTATTTAGATACTGATAAGTATTAATAAAGTATCAATATAATTACATTTGGAATTTTGACATTACAACTTTTACAATTTATTTAACTACCGAAGTCAGGAATTTTTTTTCTCAATTTAGTTATGTAAATTTGTGATAAATTATTTTTCACCGCAAACACTCAACTCATTTCATTAAACTAAACTTACGAAAGGAAGTGGTTATGATCTTATATTCTGAAGAAAGCCAAACTGAATCAACAACTTACAGAGCATGGTTAAGAATAGTTCCTACTACGTATAATTGTAATATTAATATATAACAACTATAATCATTACTATAATTACGTTTATTGTTAATATGACAACAATCAGAGTGATATAAATAACAAACGGATTTTTGCCAATTGGTCTATTGAGAGTTAATATTATGGTTTGGGGCCGAAATTGCCAATGAAGTTCAAAGACTTCATAGGCAATTTCGGCTCCAAACCATAGATTGTGCATCCTTGCTGAATTTGTTATTCTGTCTAATATTTTTTGTATGCTATTTTAAAAAGTTTTAATCCTAAATTATATTATTAATAAAAAAAGATTGAAAACAATCAGCTATGTTTAATATACTTAGTTCAAATTTTATTGTGACTGGATTTTTCTTCACAGCATGACAAAAGAGCAAGAGTGCTTTTAACCCACTGGCTGTTCTTCTCACAATTTAGCCAGTGAAATAATTATGTACAGTGGTAGACTTTTAATTTAGGTTTTGACCAACAGATGTCATTAGTCGTCCATCACTAAATTGTGGTATTTGAAGGTATTTTGTATTTATCGCTGTAACTTTACTATGTTTAACTTTACTACTGCCTTTTTCTAATCAGAAATGACTGCTAGAAAATGTTCAGAGATTGACAGAGATTCCTGATGATTTATCAGATTCTTGTCAATCTAAATATAGTGATTTTAGTCAATCTAAATATATAAAAATATCTATGCAATCTAAAATATATATGCAATTAATAAAATAAAAAATCTTTTCTAGAAAGAAAAAATGCATATTTAAATTCTCCAATGTATACAGATTTAAAATTATGCAGCAAAAAAAATTTTTTTAAGCGATTTAGGTTTTCAAATTGAGCAGACAGAGGGTTAAAGCTTTAGCTACTGTAACTGTGTTTAGTAATTCGAAGCAACTCTTTATATTTTTTATTTAAAAAAAGTATATATTTTGCGTTTTTAATTAATTTTTTTATTTTATAATTTTGAAGTGTCAATTAACTAGTCAATTGTTTCCCTGCAGATCAGGGAGTTTCTCTAATGTTTTTATAAATGTCATAATCTTTGTAAAAATATCTTCAGAGCTTCTCCAAACGTGGTATATCCTAAACTATTATTACTTGCTTTATTTGTAGTTATCTATGAAACTCTCTTTAATAAACTCTCTAGGTTTAAGTTACTGAAGTTGTCTTTTATAGTTAAGCAAATCATAACATTTCTCTTTTGTTTCTGTGCCAAATATTTTAATATGTGTGTGTGTTTTTGTAATTTAGTATTTTTGTAACTGCATTTTTGCTATTTTTATTGTTTACAAATAGTAAAACTGGATTTTTTTTTTTTTGTTGCTGTTTTCATTTTTGGGATTTTTTTTGTTGTTTTCATTTTTTTGAATCATTTTATTTTGTTTTTGAATTCCAAATCTTTGACAGTCAGTTATTTTTCTTTAGTGTGAAAAACTGAGTAAAAAAAGAGCCACTTTTATGGGTGCCTTTAGAATAGCTCATGGTAGCTCCATTGATGATGTGGATGATCGCATTGTAAAAGCCAAGTAAGAAGCTCTAAAAAATACATTATTCCATATGGTTTGTCGTAAATACATTGCTATTGTTTCTTAATTAAATATTAATTATTAGTATCGAATGCCTCTTTAATCAGTTTTCAGTAAATTTAGTTAAAATGAGTTAGAGGTATATATGTAAACTAATAAAATTTATTAAATAAAATATCATCATTAAATCATTAATCATCATTAAATCATTAAAATATCATTAATTAAATAAAATATCTGTAAATCATTTACTTATTAATTTTTAGTAGTTTTAAAGTTTGAATTTGGGATATGAAATAATTATCATTTAACAATAATAATACTGTATTTATGATATATACAACTAATTAACTGAGTACTGTAATGAATATAAATTAAACACCTTAAGACCATTATTATGGTTTGTACTTCTTGACTATCATTTGAATATTAAGAGATCCAAGAGGAAAAAAACTAAGTGAATAAGTTTGAACGTTTTATGGAAACTAAAAGAATAATAAATATTTTTCTTGAATTCTCTATTCTTTTGGTTATTTGATTTTTGTGGTATTCATATAAGGACTGACTCAGCTTTTGTTGTCAGTGATTCTCCTAGACTTGGGAGACTAAAATTTCTGAGTCCTTTTCTACTTAAAGTGGATTCCTATTTAAAATAATATAAACCTTCCATATATGTTCTTCAGTCGCCGTCTAAACTGAAGACACTATAGTTGTTTGTCATCACATATTCTATTTCTTGTATTATAATTTTTTTTTTCTTCCTGGAAGCAAGAATATTTTTTCCCCTTTATAAAATTGTATTAATTCTCTTTAAGCCTGTTGAAATTCCTGAGAATGTATCATAACTTTTTCTTTCTTACCCCTTCAATGATTTTCGGTGTATTTTGCAAAATAACATCGAACCACTTGTTGTTATGACTAATTCCAATGGCAAAATTAATTTTGTTTAATGTCTTGTACATTTAAAGTAAGTTTTATAATTCATACTTATACAGGGTGGCCACCCATCTAGAAAACCTTGAAAACCTGGAATTATCAGGGAATTTTTTTTTATACTAGAAAAAAACCTGGAAAAATCAGGGAAATTTGGATAAAAACCTGGAAAAATCAGGAAATTTTAAAGAAAAGCTGGAAATTTTTTTAATTTCACTAATTTAAATTATTTACTAATTTTCTTAATTTAAATTANGTTATCGATCGAACTAATCGTAATGGTATTATCGATATCAACTGCAATATCGGTAGTATATCGGTATTGCGATAAAGTTCGATAAACAAATTTGTAAATTAAAATCCATATTAATAAAAATGTAAAAAAAATATGCAAGAAAATTTTAGCCTATATTTTGAAAAGAGGGGAGGAGTGAGGGAAGGAGGGGAGGGCCCAAAAACGGCTATGCCTAGGGCCCACGAAAGGTATAATCCGGCTCTGTGCCTAGGGCCTACGAAAGGTATAATCCGGCTCTGGGTGGAGGTGGAAGAAGGGATTAGGATATTAGCTTCTGTTGTTAAATTCTGTCCTTGGGCTGAATCCATTTATGGCTTAAGTTTGTTCCAATGCTTTCGTGGTAATTTTTTTCCTTTTTGACGAAATGTTTTGGTATTTTTAACTTTATAAAATTCTCCAAAAATTAGTTGGTTATAATTTGATAATAATAATAGATTTTATATTGCACTCTTTTTCTGAAAATTTTTGTATTCCCATTAAAAGAAATCTGTGAATTATTTTTTCTCAGCAAACCAACCAATCTCACATTTTTTTTACAACTGCTAACAGCAATGTTTGTCAACAAATTGTTACAATTGTTGCATTAATGCTAATTTTTTCTATTTCATTTTAACCTTTTATAACATAGTTCTTAAAAAAAAAAAAACTTTTTTTAAAATTAAAATAACTATATTCTAATATTTAATTTTACTCTTTTGTTGGTCAATATATGATTTTTGATTCAAAATTTTGTACCAAAACATTAAAAAATGAATAAAAAATCTTGCCAAATTGTCAAAATAAATTATTTTTTTCAAGTTATGATAAAAAAATAACATTTTGAAAAAAATATTTTATAATTTAGACACTTTTCTTGTGCCCACATCCTACACTTTATTAGAATAAAAAAACTAAAACCTGGAAATTTTAAGATTTTTATCTGGAAAACCTGGAAAAATCAGGGAAATTTGAAATCTGATTTGAGTGGCCACCCTGTTATATTAGAGCTGTGGAGTCTATAGCTGAAATGTTTGACTTTTTTGAGAGCTCAACTAAAAAATTTATTAAAATGATCATTAAGAAAATTTATAATTAATATTCTTACTAAAAGTAAATATGAATTATTATAAATTATGAATTATATTTTTTAATGCATGATTAAAATTAAAGTGTGAAATTTTATCATAACAATCAAAGAAATAATTTCAGTAAATAAATTTGATCATATTATTTAAATCTTGTAAAACTCTTTTAATAAAAATAACTTAGTCTTATTATCATGAATTATATATTATTTTCTAAAAAAAAAGGAAGTTACTGTATTTCTCTCATTCATCTAATTGAATATGCAGTTGCTTTTTTGTATCAATAATTCATGTTTTTCAGGTCAGCTTTGTACGAAGTAACAACTGATCTTCAAGAAAGGATGCATCGCTGGAAGCAAGTTGAAATTCTCTGCGGTTTTCCAATTATTCATAATCCTGGCTTAGCATCTCTAGAAAGCATTTTGAAGCCAACACTGTTGAATGGCACAAGCAGTAGCACACACTCTGGTTACTATTTTCACTTTATTCCCATCACTTGTTTTCTTCTCTTTAACCATGTATTCTTTCTTTTACAAATGACATACATAATTCTATGTTGTTTTTCAAAATTAATAATTGGAGTAAATTACTTTTGTGATTTTAACCTCAGTTTTGTCAAACTAGACATCTTTACAAATTTAGTTTCTATTTTTATGTTTGAAAACTTTCATTTTATTGTGCCTTTTATCCTATCTTTGGCAATCATTATCATGTGTTGAATTTGAAGCAATTATATTGTTACCTTGATAATTTTTCATTCGTGATAAATCTTGATATAATTTTTTACAATTTCATTTTAATATTTTATCTGTAATTATAACTTTACCATTAGCAATCTTCTTTCCAAATTTAAACTTTAACCTTAGTAAACTTCTAATTTAAGAATCCGGATAATTAGATTGCATATTTCGCATGTTTAGTTATTTTCTTACGTTTCATCGTTTAAAAGTATTATAAAAATATTGTGACTTTAAAGCAACTAAATGTGTACATTTTTAACTTCATTGTTTTAAACCACTCCGAAAACTATACATTGCGTGTCAAAAATATATAGATTGATACTAATGAATGAAACTAAGTTGCTTCTAAATAAAATTTAGAATCTAAAACAATCAAATATTATACACTCCCCTATTACATTACTTAAAATAAATTAATTATGCAATTTTGCTCTTTCGTTAAGAATCTTTAAACTAATTTATTGAAATGTAGTTCAATTGTAAGCAAATATTGTAATACTTTTTAAAAACCAGTTAAGGTAAGATAAAAATATAATTGTGATTATCGACAGTTTCTTATTGTAATAATTATGTAAATTTATCAAGTAAGAAAAAATTATGTAGATCTAAATAACTATTTTGGTGTTGGGCTGTAATTATATTATTACATTTTGTGTATGATTCATGCATTTTAATCAAAAACTTATTTAAAAAAAGAGTGATAAATGCATTTGTTTTACATTTCTCCTCACTTTATGCGGAAAAATTGGAGTTAAAACCGTTGCCTTTTAGAAAAAAGTAGATAATATTCTTTAGGTTTGTTTCATTTTTTTAATTGTGTTTTGTATTTTGTTAAAAGTCTTGAAGCAAATTTTTTAAAGTCTAAATTAATTAGTCAAACTTTGAAGTTTTAATAATTTCAGTATGTATCACAAGAAATTCAATGTTTTTTAATTATAAAAATTTTGTTTCAGATTTATCAACTAAAAAAAAAGGTAAATGCAAAAAATATTTTATGTTTGTGTGTAAAAATATTTTTTTTACAATTTATGCATTTTAGGTAAGAAAAAATGGGTAAAAGGCACATATCGTATCCGAATTAAATACATTTTATTGAGAATGTATTGTAGCTCACTCGTTTTAGCCTATTTTTGTCTAGGAAATGTTTAATAGTTTAATTTATTTGAATACAAATTGCTGTCAATACAAATTTAAAATTAATATGACCTATATTTGGAAATAAGAACTAAAAGCTCTAGGTAAAAAAAAAAAAATATTTTAATTATGTTTGCTTTATTAAAAATATAGTGAAGCATTGTTTTCAGAAAAATCTTGATAGCTTAATTGTTGCCAAAATTTCTCAGTGTTTGTATTAATTAAAAAGGGTTATTTTGATGGAATAAATTTTTCTATTAAAATTGATTAAACCTTTTTATATTCTAGCATTTTAATAGAATAAAAAACATGGCTCCTTCTTTTTGTTGAATGATGATTTCTCTACCTAAAAATTGATATAAAAGTGAAAAATTTTATTTTAGAAAAGAGCTTAATACTTTAAAAAGAACTAGAAATTTTAGAATTGTTGAAAGAGGCTGAAGAATAGAACGTGTAGGGTTGTTAAAAAAGTTAGAAAAGATTTTTGGTATTAAAATTGATGATACCTTTTTAAATTTTGATAGAATAAAAAACAGGGCTCCTTCTTTTTGTTGAATGGTGTTTTCTCTACATGACAATTGACATAAAAGTGAAGATTTTATTTTAGAAAAGAACTTAATATTTTAAAAAGAACTGAAAACTTTCAGAATAGCTGAAAAAAAGAACGTGTAGAGCGTTAAAAAGTTAGAAAGAGTTTAAATTTCTAAAATGGGAATAAGCTAGTGATTTGTATCTAGTTAAAAAAATTTCTAATTAGTATTTTAACTGTGCTTTCTTTCTTCTGTAAGTCAAAGTATTGTTTAAAATTGTTTTTGTAGCAAAAAGCAAAGCATTTGTTAGCAAAGTTTTTTTTTTCTCATAAAACTATGTAGTTAAACTTAGTTTCATAATAAAAAATAAAAAATCAATAAATGTGATATATTGAGAGAACCTTAAAAAATCTCATTGTTAAAAAATGTATGCTAAAATAAATAAAGTCTCTTTTTTTACTTTGAAGGATAATTTAGCCTTATACTGGAACATTCCCTTTACATTCAGCAATTGTATTACATTCTGCAATTGTATGTCTTTATTTAGGAAAAACAATGATATAAAAGTATTTAATTACTTTGACTTGCATCATTAAACTGTGCATAAAACATACCTGCCAAGTCTCCTATATTTTAACATAAACTCTTGTTTTTTACCACTGTCTCCTGTTTACCAGTATATTCTCAAATTTCTCTTTATTTGTTGAAGTTTTAAAAAAATGTCAATAAAATATCCGCTGATGGCAAAAATACTTCTCTTATTCCTCAACAGATACTGCTATAGCAGTATGTTGGGTGTTAATAGTTTAAGTATTTATAAATAATGGTTTAAGAAAATATTTTTTAGATTAAGATTCATCTCTAAATGTAAGTGCTTATATTATTTCCAATTTCTCTTTTTGACTTACATGATTATGTATGATGTATCAAAACTTTTCTCGTCTAAAAGTGTCACTAGTAAAATATCCGTTATTTTATTTCTCCAATGTTGGCAGGTATGGCATAAAACCTAAATCTCATTCAGTTTTTAACAAAATGAACAAAATTTGAGACGTACTGAAAAGTAAGAAAATCGTAACCTTTTTCCAATTCTTTACATGTCCCTTGCCGTCAGGCTAACGGTGGGAGGTTCTTGTGGTCTTCCTCTCCATGTAACGCAAATGCGGGTTAGCTCCATCAAAAAGTCCTCCATGAAGGTAAATTTCTCCCAATACTCGATCCAAGAGTTCCCTTGTCTTCTGGATTGGGTTCAAAATTACAAGGCTACGGAGTTGAGCATTGGTAGTTGTAAACCCATAAAATTGGGTCGGCTGTTCAACGACCGTTATAAAATAAAATTCTTTACATGTGTAAGGCATTAACAAAAAAAAATATATATATATAAAAGATTTGTTTTCTTATAGGACTCAATACTTTGACTCATAGCAGTAGTGAAACTACACTTCGAGAAGAAAGCCCACCGCCCTACACTGGTATCGTACCTAGTAAGTTTCAAAACTTTATATTATCTTGCATCATACAAAAATTATTTCCCTTTTTCTTTTACCATATTTACAAATTTTGGTCCCTTACTATGTCTATTTTGTCACATACTATGTGCATATCTCCTGCTTATCTAATCATGTTTTTTATCTCTTAACATACTCTGCTCATCTAACTTTTTTGCTTGCTTTTCTTCTACTCCTACTAACAGCCTGCATAAGCAGTTCTACTAAAACTACAGATAGACATAGCTTTAAAGCTCAAAGATTTTTAGTTCACCGTGATAGTGGCATTTCCCTGACCTCTGCTGCTCAAACGCCTGCTGCTTCAACTTCTAAAAGTGGTGAGATTACTTTTAATTAACATGATTTCACCCTTCGTTTCTTTCCTTTTTTTCCCCCAGATAATTTTTTTAATTGTTTGTTTAAAACTCACAAAACAATTTTATAGGTTGCTCAAGACTAAGCCTGCCTTTATTTTAAACTCATTTATTTACATAAGTTTTATTGACATTATTGATATTTATTGATATTATTTCATTTAAATTTGGGCATTTCATTACATTTATTTTATCAAATGTTTTTAAATCAAAACAGTTAGTATTTTAATGCTTCGAAAGTATTAAAATTTTTTAACAATCATCTTTGCATGTAAAAGTCTAATCTATGCTGTCATATATTTTGTAAGTTATTTGTTTCATTGAGCTATTTAATCTTAATGTTTTAATAGCTAACATTGTATATTGTGAAATCGTCCCATGTTCATATTTTATTTGTTTTAAGCTAATTTTATCTCAAAATATTCTTAGTTTTAAAAAAAATTTATATCAAGCTTATTACCGCTTTTTATTATGTGTAGTAATAAGATAAAGTAAAAATAACAAATACATATTTCATGCTTATTACATTTTGTTTAGTTATTATTTATTTTTTGTCCTAAATAGTCCAATGCTGCATCTAGAACACAGACATAGCAAAATCATTATAATCTTAATGTAATACTGTATTTATTTCATTTAAGTTTCATAAATCTACATCAAAATTTCAGTCCATTCTTTTTCTCTACGAAATATTTCTCTGGAAATCCTTATAATGATAATTTTTATGACAAATTAAAATATAAAAGTTTTTGTTTGAATTATCTGTTTAATGTGGAAGTATGGAAAATGTGCCCTTTATATGCTTTTTCAGTTCACTGTTCTGAAGTTAAAGAAAGCCTGTATCATGCCGTTTTGTATCTGAAGGAGTTAATTTGCTTATTACAGGGGTGATTGCATTCTGGGTGTAACCCGGAATTCCGGGTTTTTCGTATCATCCCTCTAGGTCTACAAACTAGAAGCAAGGCATGTGATTTTTTTTGCGGAAATTCGCACATCTTAAGATTGATTTACGGACTATCGCGAATCAAAACTTATAATCCGACGAAATTTTCAGCTCAATTTAAAGTAAGAATTAAGTTCTATAATTTAAATTTTAAAACCTTCGCTAAATCACGTTAACGAGGCGTTTTCAAACATGCGACTCTTCCGCAATTTTAATTTTTGGATTTTCAAAGTTTTTAATCTTTGAAACAATGCTGGAATCCTGTAATATCAAGATTCATATTCATGCGATTTTAATATTGAACATCGGATTTCGTATTTACCTAATTTGAAAGTTATTCTTTGTGAATCGTACTCATGTGATTTAAAAATCATGCATCGTGATTCATATTCACATGATTTTAAAATCCAATATCGTGATTTGTATTTTCGCGTTCTTAAAATCCAATATCGTGATTCATATTCATGCGATTTTTTAATCCAATATCACGATTCTTATAAGAACTAAGTTTTTTCTTAAATTAGTTACTATAAAAGTGGGATATTTTTTAGTTAAAAAAATATATAAAATATGAATTATATATAAATTGATATCTTGTTATCGAGTATTTACATATAAAATTTTCAGGATTTTTCACTTTGTGTCACAATCACCCCTGTTATTATTTGACTACCAGATATTTACTTATAAAAATAGGCTGACTCAAAAAACGATATGTTTTTGTTGAGTTTAAACATAAAATTTTAATATGCCACTTAAATGGTTCTAATACGATATGCTGATTCAGATATAGTATGTTAAGTTATTAACCAACTTCCTTGAAGATTGTAACCTAGTATGTGAAAATCCAGCCTTATTATACGTATGAGGCAGGAATTTTTTAAATTTTGTTTTGTAGGCAATACTTAATAATTTGTAAATATCTGTAACATAAACATTATTTTATTTGAAAATAAATCCAAAATACATAGTCCTTGTTAAAATAAATCTGTTATAAAGGTTATTATGGTTGTGAATTAATAATAAAAAAGAAATGCTCTTTGAAATTCAACAATTCTTTATTTTGATTAATATTAACTATTAAAGAGTCATCTTGAAATGTTAGAACTTATTACTTCCTTTCAATCTCTATTACTTATTTTCATTGACCTTTAAAATATTTCTCTAGTTTATAGTTGGCTATGGATTTCCCAGTCAAATATTTAGTTGCATTTTCAGAAATCATCATTTTTATTGCACATTATGAGTCTGATTTATTTTTTTAAAGATTTCTAAATACCTTTCCTTACAAAGATTATGTGAGAAATATTCATTATTGTATTTTTCATGTGTTGGGTCAAAATAAGACAAATACAACTTGAAAGAAGAGAGAAAAAAAATTTTGAGCCTCTCCTATTTCTAAAAAGCATTATTTTAAACTTTTTCTCTATCTGTCAATAATGAATCTGATTTTTCTGTCTATTAGCAATGCTTATTTTAAATTGTTGGAATTTTTTTCTTGGCTCATTTGCTGTTAAAGTTGTTGTCATCTAATGTTAAAATGCAGAAAAGTTGTGCATTAATAATGTCCATGAAGAATGTGTTGAAAAGAACTTCCAAATTTATGAATAACTTAATTACTTATTAATATTTATTAACCTACAGGGTTGCCACTCCATTGGGAAAACAAGGAAAACCACCTGGAAAATACAGGGAATTTAAAAATCACCCAAAATAACAGAGAAAATGCAGGGAATTTTGATTCTTCCTTTACGAACTGGGAAAATACAGGGAATTTCGTTTCTTATTTATGTCTTTTAAAGAATGGTGACCACTCAAAGTGTAATCTATGGGACATTTAAGGATATTTCAGCTATACTAAACTATTTCATTTACTACAGCATTATTCAGTTATCTTCAGCTGTTCAATTAAAACTAATGAATATAGTTAGCCCAATATAGCTCACTCTTTAGCACTGTAATTGTTCTGTTTCCTCATAATATAATGTATATAATATGTAGAGGGAAAATACAGGGAATTTTTTTTCCAGATTTGCGAGGCAACCCTGACCTAGTAGTGTCAACCATAAATTTTGTTTCTTTTTTTAATTTATTATCAAAAAAAATTTCAATTAGGAAACTATTCTGAAAATTTGCTTTTTACATAATAAATTTTACTAACTCATTTAATCAAAATAAATTTTTTTTAACACTAATAAGCAGCATTTTGCATTGAGCCAAACTTGAAAGGGTCATTTAAAGATTTTATACATTACTTTACTTCTCACATACTTTAACATTAGATGACATCATCACGATCAGCTTTTGTTTTAACACTTCTAATGTTTCTGTCGCCATATTTATAGGCTCGGGAGTTGCTAACATTCCTCCACCGCCTAGCTATTCAAAATCCAGCCCTTCCTTAATTAAAAACAATCCTGACATAATGGCCTATTCTGCTCTTGCTTCCACCTCGAGGGTTGTCTATCCCAGAGAATGTTATAGGCCTTTAGAGAGTGTATCCTCTTTTGAAACAGATAACGAAGAGATTCTAATCCCTGATCCTGTTGACGATGACTCGACGGAGAGGAGCAATACTCCTCCCTCCCTTGCGTCATGCCCAGAGTCATCCAGACCAATGTTTACACTTACTGATGGGTGAGTCATCATTTCACTAGTAATCTGTTTACTGGTTTAAGAACAACATTTATACAAATTTTTTAAAAATTACCTTTTTTTAGATAGAACTATTAAAAAATGGTCCATTTTTCTATTTTTAAACAATTTAAAGTTGAATTCCATTTAATCTAAGTTTAAAATGTAAAATTTTTTAAAGCTATGATAAAGAGTCCTTAGATAACTATCTTCATTTTATTGAAAAAAATAATTATTATAATGCACTCACAATAGTTGAAATTTCAGGTTTGCAAGTTTTTAAATTAAAATCAAATCAGGTTCTATTTTTTTTATACTAAGAATATACTCTCTAATTAAATTTTTATTCTTCATTCTAACTAAGCTAAATTAAAATTTTATTCTGTATCTGATAAATTGAAAATTAAGTAAATTTATTAAATAGTTTTAGCACTGTAGTCTTTAAAAATGTGTAATATTTTACATTGAAAAAAAAGAATGAAATTTTTTGTGCGAAACTCTTAACAGATATTTTTAAAATTTAAGTATAAGTAACTAACAGGGCAAGTTTAATGTAATAAAATATAAACACATTGTATAGATAAACACATTTATTTTTTTTTTAAATGGGGACCAATTTTCATCTGACAATGTTTTGGCAGTAGCTGCCTAAATTGAAAGGGAATAAGTGAATAAGGTAGGAAAGAAAATTTCTTAAAATGTTAGTTTTTTGTGCAGAAGCACTATGATTTATCTCAACTATCTCCTCATCAAAATTATAATTTAGCACACTTTCAATTTATTCCAGTTTCAGCTATGTGGTGTTTTTTTTTTTTTGTTTTTTTTTTAATAATTTCTTAAGTACAGATTCATAGCACATATTTTATTCGAAAAAAATTGAAAATTAGGTCTTTTTTTTTTCAAATTAGTCTTTTACTGAATAGGACAATTTGTTTTAAAATTATCTTATTTATTATATCAATTTGGAAATTCAATCTCTTTTTATTTTCTCTTTTAAATGAGTAGTTTACTGACAAATAAAATTTTTGGTTGATTTTTTTTTTTTTAGTGAAGTATAATGAATATGCTTTATTATAAGATTTTGTGCAATGTAATCTTGGAATATCTGTGAAATAGCTTCCTATTTATTAAGGAATCAGGGAAAACCACATAATTATGAAAAACAGAAAACAAATAGTTCATGGAATAGGAAATTGCCTCATATCTTTAAGTTTTGGAATTCCAGCCCTAAACGGTAAGGTCTTGGCCCCTTATGGATGTGCATTTTCTGTTCTTAAAAATTCCAGTCTCTTAATTAACTTGTTTAATGGCCAAGCTTCCATCAATTGAGTTCTAACATTATTATGATTTAATCTTTATTGCTAACTTTCTTCTAGAACTAACTTTCTCTTTGCATGGCATGGCAATTGAAATTTGTGTTACAGTTTTGATTGTGAATCTATATACTCTGATTGTTCTTCTGCTTTAATGGAAAATGTTACCATTTAAACAGTGAAAGAATATTCTTATTAAATTACCACATTGTTTTGCAATTTATCTTATTTTTATTTAGTGCCTGAGCCTGGTAATTGTAACAATCAATCATTTTATACTTCTGTAGTATTGTGTATGTGTTCTTTGTTTTAATTATGTTTCAGTTTGATAACTAAACTAATATTTCTTTTTTCCTTCATTTGGTTATGCTCAGTGGTTGGAAAAAATACATTTTTTCGCTGTTAACAGCTAATTTTTTTTTTTTATTGTTGTGAATACAAACTTTCAAAATGTAGTCACTAATTAACTACTTTTAAGAGTGACAACTACTTTAATTTGAAGGAGGTTTCAATTTGCACTCATGCTAAAAATTTTAAAAATTTTTGAATACTGATAGAAAAATTCAAAAATAATGGTAATTAAAGAGCCGTTTTATGAACTGTTTCTTTCAACTTTTTATGCCTCCTATGGCTGTGAATATTTATTTCAAGAAATTAGAATATTATAACTTTTTTAAGTTCAAAGATTTTTTTAAGTTCATTTGTGACTTTTTTAAGTTCAAAGCTAAGTGTTTAAGTGATTAAAGCTTAAGTGTTATTTTTAAAGTTATCTTAACTGAGAAAAATAAAAATAAGTAAAGTATATTGGATACAAGAAATCAGTTACATTTGAATTTTGCTTCTTTGCTGGATGATTAAAGTAGTTGCGAGGACTCATTACTATCTAGTGTTGTCTTCTTTCAAAAAGTAACACATTGTTTTGCAAATTTTTTTTTTAAAAAAAGTAGTGACTGCAGTAATTTTATTGCTTGTAACAGGTAAATTCTAACCACTGATTATGCTTAGAAAATAATTCAGATAATAATTACAGTCGTCTCTCGATTGAACAGAAATGCTAAGGGAGTATCCCGAATAATCCGATTTATGCAAATTTTGGTGGAAAAAATTTATAGAAAATATAAGATTATTAGTTGAATTAATTAAAAAGAAAACTATTAACAAGTCCTTTTCATATTATTTAGATTTACAAATTCATACAGTTTAAAAGAAAAACAGAGATGTAGTATACCAGAACAATTCAGATATAAATCTAATTTGTCCACATTGTAAATTTGTTCAGCACTCAAATTTTCTTCATATATAAAACTGAGGGCCGGGATAGCCTGGTTGGTAGGGCTCTGGGCTGTGTCCAAGAGGTCGTGGGTTACATCCCAGCCAGCTGAAGACTCCCTGTGTAGTGACTGATACAAATTAAATAAAGTCCTCCATGTTCCCATAACAAACCATACCTCTGGGGGTACTGATCGAGGAGTTTCCTTGTCTTCTGGATTGGTTCAAAATTGAAAGGCGACGGAGTTGAACATTAGTAGTCATAAACCCCTAAACTGGGTCTGCTGTTCAACGACGGATATAAAATATATAAAACCTTAGCTGGTAATGTATCACTGCTCATTCTTTCATCTATTTGGCGCATACCATATCTTTGTTTGAATCTCTCTAACCACTCACTCAAAGCGTTGAAATCATCAGATCAACAGCATGCACATTTTAAAGGATGCGATCCACACTTTTCTTTCTTTCTTTTATGGATTGTTCCTGATAATACACTACCTAGATAACCCAATCCTGGTTATTCGATTGTCTGCTGTGCCTTTTATAAAATTTTTTGACTGTTTATGATATTGATATTTGAAAACCATAATCTCCTGCCCTTTACTAAACTTATTAAAATTACCTAAAGTAATACTTTGAATTGGTGTAACGAAAATAAACATTATTTCTTAAACATTCATTTCATTTACTGATTTTCATAGCTTTATTCTTGTTGTGAAACATCTTTTTAAACAAAATTTTATTCGCAATCTTTCTAGACCAATTACGGAATAAAATGTTCTTAAAAATTCATTTGCAATAGCTAATTTCAAAATTATCTTTCTATGAACGTTACTTTGGTTTCTGTCTGAAAAATTCTGCATGTTATTTATTCTTTAAAAATATATTGGTATATTTTTTTATTGCTATCAAACCCTCTAATAGTTCTGCGAATTCGAAAGACTGTTTTTACCCTGTACACTGTTCCCTTATCTTAAATTTTATCCAAATGTTGCAATCATTTTAGACAAAATTTTATTGATAATATTAAGAGACCAATTTCTGAATGAAATATTTCAACAAATTAATTGGTAACAGTTAATTTGAAAATTAAATTTTTTAATTTTTTAAACCTATTTTAAATGGATTTTTAGAAATATTTTTAAATAAAATGCATTCTGATGGGCAATATTTGTTGCAAAAAAAATTATTTTACAACAATGTAATTTGGACAAAATTTGAAAGTTTGTAGATAACATAAGCATAAAATTTCCTTATATTATAACTTATAAAAATAACAGTCATGCTTGATATCATGTAAGGCATTTAAAAAATGTTATCTGACATATGCAAACCTTAAATTCCCAATTTTTTTTCTGCTCGGGAAACCTAAAAGTTTGAGTTTCTGTTTGCAAATCCCCAACTTTTTTAATAAAAATCATTAGCAGCAGCAAATGTAAGAATGAATAATAAGAAAGGCTTCTACTTGTTTTGAAAATAATTAAAGTGTGGAATGAAATATGTCCCTCACATTATCAATAATCTTAAAATTGGGTTTTAAGGTCAGATAGTTAAATTTATAGGTCTTAGTGGCGCCTGAATTTGTACTGGATGCATGTCTTCATGCATGAGCTGGAAATGGATAAAATGGGCTCAACTTAAGTTTTTGAGGAGAAAAAAAAACTATTAAAAACTCCGAGAATAATAATGAGAGAAACGTAATTCTTTATTCTTGAATTTGGTTATTTAATTTAGAATTGAAAATTTTGATCCAAAATACTGTTGAAATTTTTTTATCAACACATATCTTTTCCATAATTTTTTTCAATATAATATTGAAAGAAATAACATGTTTAAAAATTTTGCCATTGGCATTTTATTTAAAAAGTTGGAGATAAATTACAGCAATATTAAATAATTGAGAATTGTTGATAGAATATGATTATAGACTTCAAAAATCACTACTAGTTTTAAAAAAAAAAAAAAAAAATTAAGTCCCAATTCTTGGCACCATTATGTCCCTTCCATGGAAGCCTAAGGTTTCTCGGAACATATTTTGGGAACCAGCTGAATAAGTACAGCTAAAATAAGATTTTCCTCAAAAATGTCACTGCATACTTTTAAGAATTCGTAAGTTTTGAGAATTTGTTATTCTTATAATGAAAACGCTTCTCTTTACAGACCTGGGGGTGGAATATCACTCGTCAAGAATAAGGAAGTCTATTTATCAAGCCCCTTACAACTCACTTCTGAACCTTCAAACGGACGAATGGGGGACATTGTTAGAAAAATAAGCGCGAGCATCTTAGACAAGAAGAAGAAACCAGGAAGTCTAGCCGTAGAAGCACTAAAAAAGAGCGCTAGTTCTTCCAACATTGTCGAAAACAGCGAGGGAGGTGCTTCGTCCGAATCCTCCTCCAGCACAATATCCGAAGAAAAGTACAAGAAGAAGAAGTTTTTTCAGACATTAAGGCACCGAAAGCAGAAAACTTGAAAACGACTGAACAGACAGTGCTTCTTGTCGTGACTTATGGGTGAGGAATTGGGCATAGTTGTACTTGAAAGGAACCAACTTACGTTTTTTCGAATCAATATATTTATGTAGCTTTAGATATAAAGCATCTAAGTAGAAAATAATATAAAAATAAGTGTAAATCTAATAGATAATTCTCTTGTGTGTTTTCAATATAGAGCAACTTTACTTGTTTTTAACAGGTAAGCCAATGGATTGTATAATAGAATATATCTTAAGCTTTAGAAAGTTGGTTCGTTTCGAACTGGCCATGCCTAGTTATTTGGTTTTACTGAAAAAAATTTTCACTGTGTGAAGTTATTAACCCGATGAAAACACCGAGTTTACGTGCAAGTGAGATGAATACAAGAGTTGAGCGTGTCTGAAAAGCATATCTTATGTGTATTTACTTAAGATGACATAATTAGCTTTATTTATTTGAGGTGAATGTGCGTGGCAATTTTTTCTTCTTCCTTTTGTCTCCAAATTTTGATGTTTTTAATTTGCGATTTTTGTATTCATGTGTTGCAATTGTAAATTGATAATTTGTGTGCTGAGCGTTATACATTCCATCTGTGTGCATGTGAGATTAATGTTCGAGTGTGTTTGAATCATGTTTAAATGGAAGTGTTCTCAAAAACAGCTGTATTCATGTTAAATTTTCTTGATATTAAATTCCTTTGAGATAGCTAATTATTATTATTTTTTTTTTTTACATTATCAGTTAGTAAAAAGTATAAACTTTTCTAGCTACTTTGCTAGCTACTTTGCAGTTAGTGTTAAGACTGCACCTAACTAATATATCAACCAGCTTTTTAAGTTATAATTTTTTTTATTTTACTATTAATAACACTTTTCAATAATAAAATGTATAGCAATATACATTATTATTATGCCTAAATGATGTGATAAATAATGGAAAATTATAGGAATGTTCTTAGCTATTTTCTAAAGTGGGTCTTAAATTATACAAACATGTGCCAATTTAAATATTATGCATTATTAATAATTTTAACCACTGAAAAAATTGGAAATTTTTTAAGCATTTTCTGTTTAAAATATGTAATTGTTTTTCTAAATTCTATAAATCCTAAAGATATTTTTGCACATATTTCGAATTTAATACAGAGAAACTTTAAATATTTATAACTCTAAATATTTATTTATTCTTACTCCTATGTGTCCCAAATAATAAGTCATTAGTCCCTTCATTATTTTGTTAAGTAATATTTACTATTAAATAGTATTTTCTGCTTTTATACCTGGCAGTTAATCTTATATTTTCAAATTATTTCTTATTTTGTTATCCTTTTATTTCTTATTCGACCAGTGATTTTATAGGAAAAGAAACTTATTTAAACATCATTTTAACGCAACAATATTTTTCAATAGACATATTATCTGTGCAAAATAAAATACAAAATATGATTTTGAAGAATTAGTACAAAAGTATATTGCCATCTCTCTTAATTTTTTGCCCATAAATTGTAATAAAATATTCAGGGGTGATTGTGCTCCTAAAAAAATCCGGATTTTTCACTAACCGCAATCTGAAAGTTTCTGGTGATCCAAAGTCCAAAAGTTTCAGGAAATCGTCGATCATATTTATATATGAAAATTCTTGTATATTTTATTTAAAAATATTAGAACTAAAATTTATATTTGGTTCTCTTTCATTTGTAAATATTTTTTCTTGTAGAATAATAAATGTGATTGGAGATAAAAGTAAACTTACACATAATTATTCATTTAAATTATGCTGCATATAATTCATTTAGAATATTGTGTTTTGAAAATTTCAATGATTTAAATTTATAAAGATATTAATTTTTTGAGTGATTTTACTCAAGAAATTTTCAGGATTTTTGAGTTGGGCCCACAATCACTCCTGAATATTATATTGTAATAAAATATTATATAAGATGTTTATAACATTTTTATTGGCAAAAGATTAAAAAAAAATTACCTTGCTATAATATTTTATTAGGTTGTTTTTATCACTTTTCAAATGGTTTGAATATCAGCTAATAAATTTTATGCTTGCTAATTATTGTTTAATTGAAGACAAGGAAAAAAATTAAGAAAAAATCTCACTTTTTTTTCATTAAAATGAACTATTTTGTTTGATAGCAATGCACACCAGTTAAAACATTTATTAAATAAGAAACATTTCTGTATATAGAGTATGTTTTTCTTCCTTTTTTAAAGTTGTGTATGTGTATTGTTTCTAGAAAAGTAGGTATGTTAACTTGAATGCTTCCCTGATTTATTCTTGACTGTTTGTTTTTGCATTAAACAGAATCGATCTCTTTTTTTTTTATGTTAACAGTAAATTTATAATGGAATTCGTAATTTAAAATTCATAACTCTTAAAACAAAGCTATTTAAAATAAAATATTTTGTTTTATTATTATTTAAAAAAATTTAATACTTAAAATGATTATAGTTAAGTTATAGACTCAATTTCAATGTCTGAACTAGTGTAAGGTATATTATATGGGAATTGTTGCATTATTTTATATACTTAATGGCTTAAGCATATGTATGGGCTTGCATCATATTTTACTTGCTGCTACACTTGGCTGTTATACTTTTATGCAGATATATATTATCCAGGGTTGGCAAATCATCCTGAAAAAACTAATTTCTTATAGAAAACTGGTCAGAAAACTAAAAATGACCAATGAAATTTTTAGGCAATGAGTATTAAGATTATTTTAATTTGTTTAAATTTAAGTCTAAGTTTTCACAAATTTAAAAAAAAAAAATTGTTTTAATTTATCCTATTATTTATTAAATTTTTTCCTCCCCATTACTTTTTAGTTTTCACTTATTTAATGATAAATTTAATAACTTGGAAATTAATATTTATTACTAAAATTAGATCACAATTATAAACTGTTTGAAAATGAGTTTCTTCCACTTAGGTTGGAAGAAATCTATTCCGTGTGGGGTGGGAACTTGCCATTACTGATATTATCTGAATCATTTCATTACATTTAATGCTAACTTTTTTTTTTCAATGTAATTTGTACTATCCAAACTGTTTCAGTACATAACCTTTTCACTTGACTATCACTGTACAGTTTATAAATGTGTATCATCTATGCAATAAATTATTCAACTGGATCATTGAAAAATACTATTTGCTTTATTGCATCTTGAAGAGGATATTTATGCAACCAAAAGATTTGCTATAACGGTCTTCCTGGAAATATTTCTCATAGTAAAAAATTAAAACTTATTTTTTGTTATCTAATTTCAATACATTTACTAGCAGATTCAAGTAATTATGCAAGTTATTTTGGTATTTTTCCTTTCAAAGAAGAAAAAAAAGTAAAATTAATGATGTGCTATAATATTTTCAATTTCCCGTTAACTTCATAGGAAAAAATTGTTTTGTAAATATGTAGTGTTTAAGTCATTTCATGAAAAGGAAAAAAGTATTGGCTTGTGATTGTTTAGGTTTTAGGTACTTTCCTGGTTTGCTTTCCCAAACAATTTTTACAGTATTTTTTAATGATCCTTCACGAAACAAAAATACTGTGATAAAATGTGTGAGTTATATCCAACCGGTTGACAAAATTTTTTTTATTCAGGTATTAACTTTTACACTGAAATTATTTGTTTGTAATTGTTGTTCTTGTTTAAAAGAGCTTTTATGTGACACTCTTGTGCATTGTTTGTTATTTGTAAAAATCATCTATGTGTTTATTTTTTTAAAAATTTAGTCTTGTACATATACCTTTTTGCCTACTAAGACTTGTGTTCTATTGCTCATTTCCCAACGTTCTCAAAATTAAATTTGACGTAGTGAATGATTACCAGGTATAGAATGTTGCTGACCTAGAATGTCTTTAAAAAATGCAAAAAAGTGTCTCTAAAACCGTCAAAAAAGACGTTAATCTGAAAAATATTGTCCTTAATTTTTAAAACGTGTTTTACATAAGTTTTTTTTGTAACAAAAATTAATAAAAATTTCATCTTGTAATTATGAATTGATTAAAAAATAAGATTATAATAAATATGTAATTTATGAATGAAATAAAAGGCAAATGAATATTTATTAAAAACAAAAAGGATTTTTTTTTTTTTTAAATTTTTAGTTAAAAATCTGCAGGATTGCATTGTATTCACAAATGCCTTTTGATATGCTTCAAATTGAAAGATTGCCTTTTGTCCGAAAGTAAGTTATATCTTGATAAACTCAATCAATATCAGCACTTGTTATTGTAGAATATTTAAAGTAGTTCAGTGCAAAATTTGCACTAATTCATTAAGGAAAAATTAAATCCTCAAACAAAATGCTCTTAAAATGAAAAATGCAATCCAGAAAATGATTTTAAAAAAAAGAGAAAATGAAAGAAATGGCTTAAAATCATAAATAATGCCCTATAAAGGGAAAGACAACGAATGATGCAAAAAATGCATTTATCATTAATATTTTAAACAATATTAAGTATTTAAAATTTAAAGGTCGAGTATTAGAAAGGTACTATTTAAATACCTACTTAACCAGGGTTCTTTAGTTAATTTTGAGGCGAGCGAAAATATTTGGGCTCTCGGGAGAATTTGTTGAGATTAATTGAATTCCTTAATTATTTAAAACAAAAGATATGTATATTATTTACAAAGTATAAAGTTAAATCTTGTGTACATTACACTTGTTCTGTAGCTAATCATATAAGTCATATATAAAATTTTGTTTTCTATATTTATGTCAAACAAATTTACCAGAAATATTCTTTCATTTAAATTAAAATTTTGATAAACTGCTTAATTGAAATATTGTAACTTGTAAACATTGCAGAAATCTGCAGTAATATTACATGTGATTGTTTCTTATTAAGCCCTTGATCTATACTTGCTTTGAAGATATGTTTACAAAAAAAAAAGTTCTTTACTTTTTTCGTGTTGTCTACATTTCTGATATCACATGAAAGCACAGTTCTTTAAACTGCAATTATTCATAAACCACATTTAAACAATCAACATTTCTGTTCTTAAGAACTATTAGACTTTTACACTATTTGTTAAGAAGTTACAATTTCTAGTGCTAAGCAAACCAAAGTTAATAAACTTTTTTATTAGTTCTAGTGCTAAAAAAAATTTCAATTTTCTTCTATAAAAACTTAAATATATATTGATGTTTTTGTGTTTGTATTTAAAAATTAATTTAAAATATTTTTATTCCACACTAATATTAGCAAGTTTAGTAGGTAAGTTTAAAAACGAAGTAATCTGTATAAAATCAAAGCTTTGTATAGCAACATTTAAATCATAAAAATCTTCTAATGAATAGTAAGTTTATTGAATTATTTTTTTAAAAAATAAAACATTTTCTTATGCAGAGTGCTCAATTTTCAGGTTGTTTCTTAAGTAAAAGGCACAGTTTACTAATTATGCGCCCTATTATTTACTAATATCCTTAACCACCCTAATTTTAACCAATTTGCACCCTTATTATTTACCTATGTCCTAAGTTGGTTTTTCTTCATTAATTCTGCTGGGCTTTCTAATACAACTTGATATTACCTGTGGTTAAATGTACGAAAACATAGCAAGCCTGTATTGCTCTTGTTGTGATGCTTTTAGTATTATAAAACCTTTACTTTGAATTGCGATGATAATGACTTCATAGATTGTTGCAATCCGTAAATAGTTTTCTAATACACATGAATTTGTTTT